TCATTTTCACTTCCAAGCTTTCCTTCCTCTGAACTGGCTTCCGCTGAGGCTATTCTTCATTTTCTTGGCTCGCTTTGATTTCCCAGCCTTTGATCTTATCGCAGCCAGAGGCATATTCTTCTTGTGCTCCTTCTGTCTATTGCTCGATCCTCCACTCTACGTTTTCATTTCACAATAATTATTAGATCATTAAAACAAACATTCTGTGCTTGTAAAATAACCATTTCTTGTAAGAACAACAACAATAAAGACGAGTACCTTCTTCTGCTTGATGGCAGTCTTGGATTGGTATTTCCCTCGGTCCTCTCTACCGGCTTTAACTAATTCCAGTCTTTGTTCTTTTGTTAGTTTATGCCTTATGTGAGCCTGTGGAAAGAGTACAAAAAATTCAGTTAACATCGAATCTCACTCGACTATGCCAAACATTTTGTGACTAAAACGGAGCTTCTTATATTAACAGCTTACTTCAAGTTTGGCTGGATTGACCCGCTTCTTACTTAGCTGATCAGAATCCGGAACCTTGAATCCTTTTCGAGCCAATGCAATTTTCGCATCCTTCTTTGCCTGTATGCGACACGAGACATTTACAACGTTGGACTCAAGAACAGAGGAAAAGAGCTTCTCTCTCGCGCATATATGCATATATATACCTGAAGTTCTTTGATTTTTCGGAAGTCCTCATTCGAAAGTATGCCATCACTTTCAGCTAATGATGGCTGTTCGCTCTTTGCTTCTGCGAATCTCTTTAGAGCTCGTAGGCTTGTATCAGCAGAGAGGAGACTCGCATCAAAATCTACGATCTTCCTTTTCTTCCCCTTTGCTTTCTCTTTGTTTCCACTATCCTCTACAGAAGAATCAGAAGCTTCTCCATCATCTTCTTCGCTTTCGACCTCCTCGTTTTCCGAATCAGTCTCGGCTTCACCACTGTCATTCTCCTCTTCCTCTTCATCACCACCGATCGTAGTATCAATATCACTATCATCTTCACTATCATCACCATCATTAGAATCTTCTTCAGCCTCGTCATCGGTTCCACATTCATCAGGTATCAGCTCTTGTTCGATATCATTACTGCCAGGCAACTCCACGTTATCATCGTCTTGATCATCATCAGAATCGCTCTCATGATCACTTTCTTGCAATAACTCAACATTGGGAACATTGCTGAAGACATTAACTTCTCCATATTGTTTAGGTTTGGCAACGGGACCTCCAGGACGGCCACGGTCCTTTTTCACTAGAAGCGAAGGGTTGATCTGAAATTACAAAATGCAATTCTTGGTTAACCACACACATCGATTATTTTGTTTGAACTAACCAACAAAATGCTATCGCTACCTCTCTGAACAATGCTATGAGGGAACGAGCTGCTGCTGAGATGGCTTTTTCATGGTTCTTTTTATACAGAGCAAGATCTTGCAGCAATTCTTCTGTCATCAACTGAAGTATAGGAGACAAAAAAAGAAGCAAAAAAAGAATTCAGGAAAAAAAAGGATTAGTGATGTATAACTACATTTATATGAGAATATTAAACCAGAGTTAAGAACTAGTTACCTCGTGAATCCTCAGGCACATTTCTCTTATCACATTAAGTCCGACAGCAATAGCCTGGTTACACAAATGAAAACAATGAATTATAAAGGAATTTATAAATGAGAATGCTTTCTAGTCAAGTCCCTTGATATGAGAAAGCTTGAAATCACACCTCAGGACGTGAACGGTCGTGTACAAACTGGTTCACTATTTGCTTGAAGAGTGGCTCCACGGCATCAGAAGGTACCTGCCCGGGGCAAAATTATTTAAAGGATTGAAGAATGAGAAAAGCAGTAATGCTTTAAAGTTGAGATGTTTCTATACCCCATCATGGCAAGCCTGAACTGCTGCTGCAAGTATTTGTGTAATGTCCTTTTCATGTGGCTGCATTTAAGAACATATTTCAATCAAATTTCAATTAGCAAAAGAAAATTTAAAAGGGCAGTTAGCAAATCTTACCTTAGCATAGTTTTGAAGATAAGAATAAAAGCTTAATAAATGCAACTTGTGAAGACCAATTGTTCGTGCAATAACTTTCATCATCATCAACCTGGTCTGCAAAATTTTTTGAATACATAGGGGAAAAAATCAAATGAGACCGGGAAACCAAATAAAAATTTAGTTAGCTCATATGTTTCCTATTTTCTAGTATGGATGAAGCGAGTTAAAATATAAGAATTTAGGGGGAAAATAGTAGAATTTAGTATCAGCGGAAAATTGTAAATTCTGGCTAAACACTTGGCTAAAGGAGGCGGGTATGAAGTGACTCAGTCGAATTTCATAGATGAAAACAGGGAGAATAATTACCTCAACGCGTTCATTAGTTTTCCCAATGCTCTTGCCAGTTTGAAGACGGGAAAGCAATCTCTCTGCAAATTTCTGTAAAAGAAGTAAACATTCAATTATAGCCACTCGATACTCCATACTCCATACTATCGTAATTAATTTCTCTGCATCATTTAGGAAATGAACCTGCGCATCATTTAGATGATTAAGAGGTGAATAAGTTGAAGTGGTGTTCTCAGACGATGCACGCTGCTTTTTTTTAATACTTCGCATCGCACGTTGCAGTTTAGCTTGCTTTTTCTTCTTGCTAGAAGATGTACCTTTGTTGGTCGCCTATACATCGGAAAGGGAAATTCTTTGACATATAAACTAACCAAAAAAAGTTTCCCCAGATATTAATGCTCCATAATATCATGTAAATATGACCTAGTTTCATACTTATTCGTAATGATAAAAATGATATCGACAACTGTAAAGGTGGAAACTTCCATCAACAACAAGTAAGCGTCTTCTTCAAACTCTTTACTAAAATTCATGCATAATGTTATTTACCTTGTAAACAGCCTCTCTGTTAATCACAACCTGAGATGCTTGCTTTGAATCCTCGTCGTCGCTGCTTGAAGCATCACTATCATCATCTTCGTCAATGTTCTCGTAATCAAGAAGAAACCGAAGGGAAGATATCATGATCCTGAACATGTTAAAAAAGAAAAGTTAGTAATTTGACCGACCAAATCTTATCAAAATATTCCACAGTTAGAAAAAAAAAAAGATATACGTACCTAGGTGAAGTATGAAAGCACGCTTCACAAATCGCAATTGCTACTCTGTCATGTTGATCACCAAGCCAGACTTTTCTCTTGTGAAGCTCACAAAGGGTAACAAGTGCTCTCTTAGCCTTGGTTTCATCTTCTTGCTACAAACAAAAGAAACAAAGCAAAATTATACAATAAACTATAATCGCATCATAAACTCAGTTACACAATCCCATGGAAAGGGAAAAGAAAAAGAATTACCTCCAACATAGCGATCACAATCTTCTGAAGTGATTTGTGCCTCGGATCAGTGACACTCATCTTACGAATGGTTTGAACAATGTGCGAGAAAGCAAGCTTTCGCAAGTTTCTATCACCAAGAGTCTGAATATCCAGAAACAGAGCCAGCAAATCCTCGATGAAAAGACTCTAACAAAAGAATAAAACAGCCAAATCAATCTCAGAACAGACACACACAAAATGGATTGAAAATCAACTATGAATCAGAATACGAGCAGCTCAGATTCCAATCAATCACATTAAAACACAAACCTTTCGATTCATCAGAAGAATCAGGGCTTGCGCAACATGGTTCCGAAGCCCCGACGGCATCGCCAGGCACGAGGTACGGAGTAAATCAGTCAATTGAGCTGGAAATGCGGCGAGCTGCTTCGGGTAAAACGGAGTAACGTGAGCCAGAAACATGGCTCGGTCGCCGAGATCCTTGGCAACGGAAGGGTCGGAGCCGATGCCTCCGACGGAGGAGAAACTGAGAGCCGCCTGTTGCTGAAAGAGATCGACGGAGGCTTTGAACTGTTTGTAAATCAATTGGAGCTCCGTTTCGTAACCTTCTGGGTCACGTTTGATTTTACCTTGAAGGGTAGGAAGGCTGAGCTTCTCGGAGCTCCGGCCAGACGCCTTCAGGGAATCCGGCGTATGACCTAGAGATCCGGCCATAATCGGAGGTTTAGGGAGAGAGAAAGAAACCCTGGAACGGAAAATAAAAGTGAGACTTTTATTTTATATACTTCCTTTTATCATCCTTTAGGTTTAGTTCTTCATACCAGGTCGGTTTAGGATTTGATAGTCTATTAGTCTTTGGTTTTCTGGTTCCGGTTAAGACTTTGAATCTATGGGCTTTTTGACTCGAGATGAATTTGAAACCCACTGTCAATTTCTGAATCCTCTGTTTCAGTGTTTCACCATTGTCTATTTCTCTGGTTTGAGAAATTGAGATCATCAGCTGATTTGAATATAAGACTTTGAATATTTTTATTACATAATTTGATGTAAAGAGAGTACAACAAAATGATAAGAAATACAGCATTGTCTCTTCCTTCACACCTTATATCAATGAGTGATTGTAAGTTTAACTATCCAGAAATAATTTTATAACATTTTCATTCAACTCTAACTAATAGGGGATATTTAGGAAAACTTTGTACAGTTAAGTCTTGTATATATTTTTTTTTAAATAAGTTAAGTCGTGTATGTTACCCTTTCTCTGTTTTTAATTTGAACAAAAAAAACATGCATGAGCGCAAGTTTATAATGTTTATCGCCAAAAAGAAAAATTGATCCAAGTGTATTTTTAATTCTAGACAGTTTATAAGGTTTGTCGCCAAAGACATGAGCGCAAATTTTGCATTTTTAGAAGCATTCTTTGCGTTTGTTGCGCATTTTGCCAACACACAATTTGCATTATCAGCACGAACCTTTACATTTCGTGTCCCACAAGAAACTTCACCTTCTTGAAATAGACCATTTCATCCGTACTAACTGTCTCCAAGAAGACAGCAACAAAAGTGGTGTTCTTAAGCCAAAATATAAAACGCATGAAAACAAGTTTCCTCAAATACTCGTTGAATCTTCTGTTTACTTAATCTGATTTACAAACAAAGAAAGGTTTCACTAGCAGAGCTTGCAATGTCTGAAACCACTTCCATGTCTTTAACAGAGAGAGTTTACAACCATCTTTGTCTCTCCGATGTTTCTCTCGCCTTGCTGGGACTGTTTGTTTTCTGTTGCTTGCGTGAGAAGGTAACGAAGAAGCCAGGGCCAACGGTATGGCCCGTGTTCGGAGTTACTCCAGAGTTCTTCTTTAACCGGAATGATGTCTATGGTTGGGTCACAAGGTGTTTGAAAAAATGTCGAGGTACATTTCTTTACCGAGGAATCTGGCTTGGTGGTTCTTATGGAGCTGTGACTTGTGTTCCTGCTAATGTCGAGTACATGCTCAAGACTAACTTCAAGAACTTCCCCAAAGGTCCCTTCTTCAATGACCGGTTCAGTGATCTGCTCGAAGATGGTATCTTTAATGCTGATCATGAATCTTGGAAGGAGCAAAGACGCATCATCATAACCGAAATGCATTCAACCCGGTTCGTGGAGCATTCCTTTCAGACGACACAGGATTTGGTAAAGAAGAAGTTGTTGAAAGTGATAGAAGGTTTCGCGAGGTCACAAGAGGCTTTCGACCTACAAGATGTGCTCTTGCGCTTGACATTTGACAACATCTGCATCGCGGGTCTAGGTGATGACCCGGGAACTCTGGATTCTGATCTTCCTCTTGTTCCATTTGCTCAAGCTTTTGAAGAAGCAACGGAGTCTACGCTGTTTAGATTCATGATCCCTCCATTTATATGGAAAACGATGAGGTTCTTTGACATTGGGTATGAGAAAGGTCTCAGGAAAGCAGTTGAGGTCGTGCATGAGTTTGTGGACAAGATGGTTGTGGATCGTATCTGCAAGCTCAAGGAGGAAGAAACGTTAGGCAACAGATCCGATGTCCTCTCAAGAATTATTGAGATTGAAAGTCACAAGAAGAGTGATGAAAAAGATCCTTCCATCATCAAATTCTTTAGACAATTCTGCACAAGTTTCATCTTAGCTGGACGAGACACAAGTTCAGTTGCACTTACATGGTTCTTCTGGATGATACAGAAACACCCACAAGTTGAAAACAAAATCATCAGCGAGGTCAGAGAGATCTTGAGACAGCGAGGAGATTCTGTAGCCAGCAAAACCGAGAGTCTCTTCACAGTCAAAGAACTAAACGACATGGTATATCTACAAGCAGCACTTTCAGAAACTATGAGACTTTACCCTCCGATTCCAATGGAGATGAAACAAGCAGTTGAAGACGATGTTTTTCCCGATGGGACTTTCCTAAGTAAAGGTTCACGGGTTTACTTTGCGATATACGCCATGGGAAGGATGGAATCCATTTGGGGAAAAGACTGTGAATCGTTCAAACCAGAGAGATGGATCCAAGCAGGGAATTTCGTGAGCGATGACCAATTCAAATACGTTGTGTTCAATGCTGGGCCAAGGCTGTGTTTAGGGAAAACATTTGCTTACCTGCAGATGAAGACGGTAGCTGCTTCAGTCTTGTTGAGGTACTCAATCAAGGTTGCTCAAGATCATGTCGTTGTCCCCAGAGTTACTACAACCTTGTACATGAAGCACGGTCTCAAGGTCACCATCTCGCCAAGGTCACTGGAAGAGAAGATACACGTTCAAAATTAGAGAATCGAGGTTCACAGATTAGAATTTTATCAGGTAAATACTCCACATACCATATCATGGAGAAGTTACTAGAGTCATGTTGACGAATTCGAGTTTCTTAACTAATATCAAAAACGCAATGTAACCTCTTCACCTCTCATTACCTCAGTGATAATGTACCTGTTTTCGAGCAGCTCATCTTGAAGGCTGAAAAACAAAAAATTCAAATGTGTTTGATGAAAATTAACGTACTTGAAACAATCGTTCATGTTCTGTATAGAGCCTTATTTAACACATTAGCAAAGATTGATGTCATTTTCTTCAAGCAATGGATCCTAATATCAAGTGAGCTTGTGGAATTGGTCTAAGATCATCATCAATTTTTTTTTTTTTTTGCAAGAGGAGACAAACACTCCATGAAAGAACGACTCCAAGCTCGGATCAGCCTAAATCAAATTGATTATGAATAAAACTAATTCCAAATCAATTGACATACTGTAATAAGTCGAAGTTAGGAAGAGATTTTCTATACTTTCAGGACGACTAACAGGTCAAACTACAAAGTCAAAAATTTCCATGAAAACTGAAAGATAGCATTTTTACATGGAAAGCTTTTGGAAACACACCACAATGCTTACTCTTGGTCCGTGCAATAGTTCCCAAACCATGGAGCTACACTAAGAAAACCCAAAGAATCAAAGACCAGCCTTTGCGTTTACACTTTACAGAGGAACGGACCAAAAAACCGGGTTACGATGGAGTCAACAATTGGGGTGATTATTGATCTAAGGAATCAGAATCGGTTTCAAGAAAAAGCCCAAATTCGAAGAAGAAACTGTATCAGAGAGTCATACCATCGACAGACTCATGGGTGGCTAAATATGGAGGCAAAGTCAGTAAATTTGACTCAAAAGAAACGATCTTTCAATTTGCAACCCATAGGCTGCTTCCTTTAGCATATCCGGCCATTGACGCGCGTCCAATTCACGCGCCGCATTTACCATCTAGCTTTAATCGCCGGATAGAGAGGCAATGCCACGGCCGGGAGGCGGCGGTGGTGGGGTAATTATAATTTTACTCCTCTTAACTTTCGCTGTTTACGAATTTACCCCGTTACTTTAGTTATGTGCTTTATGTCAATTTCACTCCTCATCAAATTCTGTTTCTTCACTATACCTCTTGAGAAAGAAAAAAATAGATCGTTTAGTAATCAACTTAATTAGCTGAAGATGAACAAATTTATTGAATCATACATGAAAAGCAGTTATACATTCAGCAATTGAATTTATAGATAAATACTACCATTTTTTTTTTCTCTAATCTAAACGCAATTATTTATTGTAACTAGTTTCTAAAGTTTAAACCAAATCCGACTTGGGTGACAGATTATCTAAGGATGAGATCTGTTTATACAATCCCAAGCTTTTTAGTGGCCTTGTGGCTTTGATGATCTTGAACCATTGGCTCATTGGCTCGCACGAGCTGTCGTTACTCAGACACTTGCAGGCATTAGCCACGACGTTATTGGTTGCGTCCACGTCAAGGCAAATAGAAGTCTTGTTACTTGTTGTCGCAGCTAAGTGCATCCTAGAGGCCGAGATTGTCTGCCATATCGAACCGGGTTTCGAGCAACTAGTCCGAGTCATCGTAACCCGGTTTTTCGGTCCGTTGCTCTGTAAACACAAAAGCTGGTCTTTGATTCTTAGGGTTTTCTTAGTGTAGCTCCATGGTTGAGAACTATTGCACGGACCAAGAGTAAGCATTGTGGTGTCTTTGAGAGATCGAACTACACAGAGTCCGGTTAATGGATGGAAAACCAGATTGTAAGCATCGGTTCGAGGACCCGGTCCTAGTAAACGAAATCAGTTCAGAAGTTCATATATTTAACAAAATATGTTTGAGCAAATCTTGTTTAAAACTTTTAGTAAATCTCTCAATATATGCACCTTGAAGTGGAGATTGAAGAAGAGAGATCTTTTGCAAGAAACTTGAATTTCGAACACTAATCCAATCAGAATCCAACGCACCATAATACTCAATCATCCCGACCACGCCTTGTCTTAAGTAATAACTTCCGGTAAGTGCCCATAGCGACCAGTCGACGTCATTTTCAGCCGCCCAACCGCTTAAGCATCCGAAATAGCGATCGTCATTTGCGTTTTGTCCTCTTTCGTCTACACCGAATTCGCTGAGGAACAATGGAAACCCTTTGTTAAGGAGAAAACCGCCATTGTTTCCTATCCGGTTTAGAACTCGACCGCAGATATCGTTAGGGTTATTGGTCGTCCACGAGTTTCCGTCCGTGAAAGAATACCAATGAAGCTCAAAGACGAGTTTTCCGGTGAAAGATAGTTTTACGGGTCGCGACCTAACGAAGGAGAGATCGGCATCAAAGCTTAGACCGGACAGGACTACAAGTACGTTCTTGTTTGCTGAATGAACTGCTTCAGCTCCTTGTTGCATATACCTACGTATGTAAAAAAATTATTCAAAAATTCAATAAAAACAATTTTAGTTTGCTCAAGCTTTAAATTTATATGTATAGATAACATATCCATATATAGGCTACATAATAAATAGTTACCGTACTTGAACCAATCGTTAACGTTTTGTTTAGGCCCTCTAAGTTCATTCCTAAGACTCATGCCAACGACATTAGTGACGCCATCAAACGTCGTCGCCATTTTACTCAGAGCGGCGGTCCACACGGTGGGATCGAAAAACCGGTCACCGAAAAAACCATTACCGTCGTTGTTGGCGCAGCACCACCCTGGTTTAGTTAGGTGGTTGTCTAATATAACCATCACATCGTTGTTTCCTAATGTAGTAACCACCATCTGCAAAAATAAAATAAAAAGAAGGTTATACTATCATCATTGATATTTCATTTTCACTTTTCTAATATAAGATTGCGGATTCGGTTATGATTGATGATTTTAGACTTGTCATGTTGTCACGTTGGTTTTTAATGGCATGTGAACCCTTGTGTTGATTTAGATGACTTTCCGTGTTACACCCGAATATTTTTCAGTTTTTTTAACTTAATTATTACTTAACTAATTGACGGATTTATCATTTGTAAAATTAACATTATATCTGTAAGACAATTTATTTACAAAATACGAAATAATAGTTTTGCAAAGTTTGGTTGGATGCTTTGATGATACATGATGTCGGATGTGCAACTTATAATGTGAGAAGAACGATTATAATTCTAGACAGAAATGTGTCAACTTGTAATTTGATTATGTGTCATCTAAGAAGAAGCACCATTAGTCTTTTATGTATAAACTTGAAACTATCTGTGAAGTTTATATTTGGATCGGTATCAGGCCTGATCAGTATGATGTTTTGCAATTTCAAGAACCGTATCCCATAAACGAGAATTTGAAAATCAGAAACGAAGAATCAATCCTTCGCTAGATAAATGATCAACTTTTGGGTACGATTTTATTTGTTGCATTATTTATACCCATTAAAAACAGAACAAGTTCACAAGAATATAATTAGTTTATGTGACAGAAAAGGAAAAAGGCCAAACAAACGTCACGAGCGTTATGTGTTCTGGAGATGCTCATTAACTCCAGTTACCCACTACCAAACATTTTTTAGTTAAGAATTTGACTATTGACATATAATTCAACATAGACCTGATTGGCTGATTCCTGAATATTATGCTTCTTTTTTTTTTTAAGGAAAAATGAACTTAGACAATTTTGTAACAATTCCCAACCAAACCCCAACTAATTAAATTGATTATTGAATTGTATATGTAAAGTTTCCTTCAAGTATTGACGTGTTCTTTAGTCAGATTGGTTCTTCTACAAGTTCAATACGTGTAATAGTTTGATAAGCAACATTATGATGAAATTCATTCGTCTATATCAATATGTTTTTAATTTGAATAGAAGTTTTAATTATTAATTAATTGAACTTTGATAATTAGCTGAACAGATTCATTTTAATGTTTAAAAAATGCATTTAAACATAAGTCCATCTATCACCCTATGTATGCCTTGTTAGTTTTACACTATACGAATAATTATCAAGAAACGAATTAATAACAGCTGAGAAATATAGAAAGAAGACTTTGACACAAAAGCTATGTAATATATAAATTGGGAAATTACCTAACCTAAAAAAAACTCATATTTTTTTTGTTGTAGATGAATAAATGTTTGATTATAGGATTTGGTTGAACCCCTCCGATGTAAAAAAAAAAATCACAAAAAAAAAAATTCCATAAGAAAAGAAGGATGCACCATGCATCTTATTTTATCATACATCTTTTCATTTGAAGGAAGTGTCGAGGTCCAACGATATTTCATGGAAACGTCTACTTTATATCTATACAAATTATTTCATCTTTTTCTGTTAATTAGGAAAATATGTTCACATGACACATGAAAAAGGATGTACTGACGTACACGTATATACATATACACTACATTTGCAATAGATACTGAAATCATCTTACTAAAGTCTATACGTTCAGAAAAAGCTTTTCGATACGTGCATTAGAATTTTAATTCGATCCCAATTTTTTCTTTGTTGGTTAAACTAAAATGCAAATGTAACTAGAACAAAATTAATAGTAAAACCTAAAATTAACACAATATTTAGAATCAAAAGATTGGAGATATAATAAGAGTACCTTGAAAGCTTCAATTAGAGAAAGATCAATAATGGAGGGGTTGTTAGTTTGGAAACCAACAATGTCATCTTTAAGACCAAAGCTTTGAAAAGATTGTCTCACTGTGACATTATTAGCCAATGTCTCATTAGTCATCAAATCCAACGGCCAAGTTAACCTAACACAATTGAAACCCATTTCCACTATTTTCTTGGCCACTGCGTCCACCGGTTGCTTGCTCAGCCCTTCCGCCACCACTGGCTGTAGGTGCGAAGGCCAGTTCACACACGCTAGCTTCACTCGTTGACCGTTCTCATCCACGATCCAACGGGAGCTTGTGGAGAGAGGATAAGCCATGTTTGGGATGGTGTGTTGTGCAATGAATGAGAAGAAGAAACAGAAGAATGGGAAAATGCAAAACATGTGTTTTGGCTCTTTCGTTGTCATTTTTTGTTGTTGATGAAGTTGTGTTTTCTTGTTTCTTTTGTGAGTTGGAGATTCATATAGACAATAGTCTTATTTATAAACATAGAAAGAAAGGGTTTAGAAGTAAGTGTCTCTGTCATAAAAAAATTGTTCTTCCTTTACTGTTCATATTTCAGAAACTATAAGGTATGTATTTAACAGTTACTTTAATATTAGTTGGCGTCTTTTCGGTGTTAATCAACGTATGATATATTTAATGCGTTTTCATACGTTTTTATGTCAGTTGGTATATCAAGGTATGTATGATATATTATGACATTCAAATACTTAGCAAAAAATAACGTATGAATAGTTGTATAAGATTTATTTAAATGAGTTTTCTTTAAAAGACCTGAAAGGTATATACGTAGCTAGTGTCTGTATCTACGTCTTATAAAACTAAATCTCAACACATTACCAGATTCTAAATATACATAAACTACAATTTATAGTTTTATTCATATACATTACCGACACCAAATATCATAAACTTTTAAAAGAAATGTCGCTGACAATTAATATATGAACATGCGTGTAACGGTTCTGTCTAATATCCTTGTAAGTATCTAAAGATGAAATAGCCGTTTCCCATCGAAAATAGGACGCATCGACTTGAGCAGTATTTTCACCACACGGTCTTTCCAATTAAAACAAATCAATATATATCTAGTAGTACTCATTCAAACAACAAATCAAAGTTCATATCTGAAATTGTTAAGCCATGTCAGTACTTTTGATGGTTAAACGATTTGAACCATATATATTCTGAATCCTATACATATTATTCTTGCGCATATGTTACGTTTAGGATATCAATAGTATTAAAGATGATGATTTTTTCCCTCGCTGTAAGTTCATGATATACATGATGTAGATTGATGATAAAATTTAAGAGCCTTTTTTTTAATCTTATTTTTGTTGTTGCATTCAGTAGTATTGACATCTAGAATGCTTGAGAGTGGAAGACTAATTAACAGTTTTTCATTTTCAATATACACATGTTCTTTTGTCAACTATGTAGTTGATATATGTTTTTAATGTCTACGTACACAAAACCAAATGCATTTACCAACTATCTGAATATTTAGTATATTTATCTCATGAATTTAATGCCATTTATCCATCTGAGCTGTTATACAATTTACTTTAGCTTTGTACTTCATTACTCTGTATGTAAAATTATTTGGAAGACCATGTTCTTCTAAAAGGAAATTTATATGCAAAGTCCATTCCAAATTATTTGCAAACATTATTCATAATTAAGTTGATAAACATTTAAAAAATAAGAAAGTAAAAGCGTCAAGGAAAAGAAGAATAGTAAGTCGAGTTTGCAAAAAAGTACAAAATTGAGTATTTTTTGTTTCCTGTTCGGAAAAAAAAAAGAAAGAATGGAATTTCATTTTCAAGGTAAAATTACTCTTAAGGAATGACAGATTCGACAAAACTTTTTCACAAGTCAAGAGAGACTTAAAAGCGTTGAAATCAACGACCGTTAAAGTTTAACCTACGTCCAAGTAAATACTCCTTTTGGTGTTTTGTCCATAAACACAAGATTTCTTAAACTAAGGTATTTGCTTTACATAAAAGAAAAAACAAATTCTTATAATATAGGTACATAGATTTCTTGAACTTTAACAATTTTCCCCAACCCTTTCTAAGTGAGTCCAAGCCCGGCCCATAATGATATCGAAAGCCCAAAAGAGTTCGATGAACTTCAGGTAGCTTTCTTTGTTCAACTCCGTTTCCGACAATCGAATACCACTTGGCCGCCTTCACTGTCTTCAGAGCTTCGCTGCTTACTATCGCAATCGGATGCAGGAACCGGAGATGCATACGTCGAGTTTTCAGAATCTTTAGTTTATTTTTTTTATTGAAAATTTGAGAAATAAATCACTGCCTTGGTTGTTGAACTTCCGCGATTCGTTTATTAAAAATTTTTAATTGAAAATTTATGATTTAAACCGACCGGTTTTTACCAAAAAAAAAAATCGACCGGTTCTTCGCGACCGCCGGTTTCCTTTTTCCTATGACTATGACTTGCTCAAACGACATCGTTTTATGGCTAGGCGTTGATATTACGCTCCTACGCTTCGTCCTCTTGGGGGCTAAAACCTTCGCATTCGAAATTAAAGTCGAGTAGAAACTCTTCGATTCGGAGAGTCTGAGGTAAGGGATTTATGGGCAATTGAAAACACAAGACAAGAGCTCGTCTCTATCGCTCCCAGAGAAGAAGCCAGACGATCGATATCTTGTGTGATTGCTTCTTTTTTATCAGTGAATCACCAATTGAGTGAATGTAAGCTCTCTCTTTTGATTTTTTTTTGTTCTCTGGATATTCTTGGGGTTCTTAAATCAGCTCATCAGTATTGAATCTGTTCCTTTGAATTTCTCATCTCCGAAGACAAATTTTGTTTCTGTTTAGGATGTCATTGGCCTCTCTGCATTTCAATTTCGGTTATTTTATTTGCAGGGGAATAGTTTTGGAACCTCGTTGTCCCAGAAGCGTCGATGGGATTAGCATTGACCCTGAGCCTAATTGGAATTTCGAAAGCTTAGTCTCTGAAATCGAGTCTGTTGAAAAGAAGCTCAATTCCTTTTCAAGCTTTCCCCAGCAATTCACCAACACAACCTTACGGTACGTATCTCTCTCTTTCTTTCCTTCTTTGTGATTTTAAGTATATAGCTCTATCTGAATTTCTGCATTGATTTAGGATTGATGATAATGTACCTTAGAACTCTTTTAGTTGACAAATTTCAGCTGAAATTTAGAAAGTATTTTATTATGTTCATTGGTGTGTTAAAAGGATGGGAAGGAGTGGTGGTGGAAGAGGATTTGTAATGCGTGTATTAGAAGATGAGATGGAGAGTGATGAAGATGAAGAGAGTGATGAAGAAGAAGAAGAAGAAGATCATAGTCAAATCTGTACAAAGGGGAAACGTTTCGCTTGTGATGAGCTATACTTGAGGTGATTACTGCCAATTGTTCCTTGCTAGCTTGGTTCAAAATTAAGAAAGACTTATTGAGTGTTATTCTGATGGTTTTTTTTTATCGGTTATTTTGTTGTTCATATAGTGATGAATCTGATGATGAGTTTGACTGTGAACCTGAGTCCTTTTTGATGAGTAAGATGGGTCTGGCTGAGAATGCTCTATATGAGGTGATCAACGACCACCAAACCGAAGTTAAGGTGGGAAGAGTTTTTTCCTTTTGTTGTTAAATAGGTACATATTGTTGAGTGTTTTATTTTTGATTGCTATATATGAAGTGATTAAGAATTTGGATCTCTTGATAACAGGAAGATATTAGGAATCAAGTGTCAGTTGTTGAAACGAAAATACTGAACGAGATTGAAACATCTCGCTCTGCGTTAGCCCGGGTTGAAAAGTACAGCGAAACTAGAAAAGAAGTTGAACGGAAACTTGATCTCCAATATGAGCGAAAAGTGTAAGCTATGGTTTCTGGCATTCTACTCTCAGTAATAATTTATGAGCTGTGATTTTTTTTCCCTCTTGAAATAATGAGTTTTTCTTGTCGCTGTTTTCTAGTGCTGAAGCACTTGATAACCATATGACTGCAGTCCAGCGTGAACATCAAATTAAATCGCAAATAGAAGAAAGAAAATTAAGGAGCGAGGAAGCTCAGGAGGAGGCCAGGAGGAGAGAAAGGGCACTTAAAGAAGAGAAAATACGTCAAGAAAAAGCTCGTGCAGAGGCTGAAGTATGTGTTTATGGATTGAACTTTATGTTTGTGATCCTTAGCCTACTCAGCTTGCTTAATTTCTCTCTCTTTTTTTCCTACTAGATGCTAGCAAAAACCAGAGCTGAAGAAGCAAAGAAAGAAGCTGAGAGAAAGGCATCCAAAGAAGCAGCTGAAAAAGAAGTAGCAGATCGCAAAGCTGCTGAACAAAAACTTGCGGAAGAGAAGGCTGTGACAGAGAGAGCTAGTGTTGCTGGTAGTCCAGCTACATCGAATGCTCAAGCTGGGGGTGAGCTATCTTCTATTGAGTACATATTGCTGTTCTTCTACTTTGCCGTGATTGGTCTTTCTTTCTCATGTGGAAGATTGTAATCTCATTTCTTGCTGTGTTTATCGCTTATTAATCATGCTAGGTATATCAATCCAAGCTGCAGAAAGTGCTTTGACATTGGAGAAGCATAGATTGAAGAAGCTCGAAGAATTAGAAGCAATGAACCAGTCGCTAAAGTCGCGTTCAAATGAGGTACCTATCCTTTTCTTACGTGTTTATATGCGTATCATCCACATTTGATCACAAGTCATGTGTTTTTTTTTAAACTATTTGTAGGACTTTAGCAGCTTTGAAAAGCATATTGTGAGGGTGATAAAGCAAATAAGGGGGACAAAGGAGAATGTAAGGTATGGTTCATGGGTTCCGGTAATCTGTCAGCTTTGTTAAACTTGTGAAAAATGTCACTTTCAAGCATTTGATAATAAAGATTCAGATAGATTTGAATAGGGTTTGGTGTAAGCTTGCCTAGGCGTCTTTTATGGAGTTTTGTTAAATCCTCCTTTTTTACTTGAAATATTTCTGCTTTGCGATTTTGCAGTACGAAAAGCATTGAAATTGTCAAAATATTAAAGGACGCTCGCTGTCCAGTGTCCATCAGTATTGCAACTTTTGCGAAGAAGGTAAATTGTATGTCTGGTCATTTAAACAGTCACCTGTTCATGTTGTATTGTTGGATGTTGAATGGCTCAGATTGTTAACTCAGGTCAATTGGCGAAACAACTCTTTAATAAACTGAGACTGATGGCATTAGCATTTGTTGATTCTTTCAGATGGTCTCCGCTAAAGACCCTTTTGCAGGCGGCTACGTCATTGTTTACGTCACCTCGCAGGTACAAAATATTTTACGGTGGATATATTTGTCGGTCTCTAGTTATAAAACTCTTCTTGCTATTACTGAATATATAATCGACCATTGCACACAGTTTCCACAAGCTATGGATATTCTTCTTGCTGAATTCCACAAAGCTTGCATTTACACAGTCCCGAAACACATTGTTAACTCACAGGTAACTAACTAATCTTCTTTTCAAATTGCTTTGTCAAAATTGTCAAAACCCTTGTCTTTCTTAAATAATTTTCTCTGTTATAAATTCAGTCAGCTTGGGACTCAGACGCATATCAACACCTAGATTCCGTAATGAGACTTTACGGTGCACTTGTCCAGGTTTTTGCCTCTTGTCATTCAAATATCTCTTGTGCTCTGCTAATTCCATAGTCTGATTGAGTCTTGTTCTAATGGTAATGACAGACCGATATTCGCGGCGGAAATGCTACTAACATTCATGGGATTGAACAAGGATGGGCTTGGCTTGCCCGGTTCCTTAACAAAATCTCAGCCAACAACAGAGTTACCGCAACAGCTTTAAATGCATTTCTCCAGGTACCGAGAAAGCTTTGATAACAATATCCGGTTCCGAGGTAAAAATGACCCCTTAGATCATAACTGTGAAATCTGTTTGTGTGTATGTGTAGACGGCAGGGTTTGGTCTTCATCAGAGGTACAAATCACAGTTCTTGAAAGTATTGAACGTTGTAAGAGAGCATTTCTTGCCGAAATTGAGAGCGAAAAAGGATACGTCGGATCTACAAGCGATCATACTCGATATCACGACGTACATAGATGATCGGATGTATCTTAAGGAACCTGAAGGAAGGGCTCTGAAGACTAATATTTTGTCGGCGGAGATTACTGCTGAAGTAGATCAGCAGAGCCACAATCAACATTACCAGAGCCACAATCAACATTACCAGAGGAATTATTACAGAGACTATTAGTGATTGATGTATCTTTTTCGTCAAATAGAAACCCATCTCAATTTTCTCTTACATTGTTGTAACCAATAAACGCAATGTCACACCAATATTTGAAAAAATCAAACACGATGTCACACCTTTCTTCTTATTGAATATTTTGTTTCATTTAGATTTGGTAAAATTCACACACACTTTCTTGACGAACAAGTCATTCTCTTCCTCTGATATACCTACAGGACTGAATTTTCGTGCTAAATGAGTTCGATCAGATGCGAGGTATCTTGACGCTTCCCATTCTTCACCATAAAAGCGAATCCGGCGTCTTTCAAGTTGAAAGATAAGATTCGAGACCCGACTGTCTCTGGTCGGCTATAGCCTTCATGTTCTTCCTCTGCTGCTTCTTTCGATGAGATGGCGACCAGAGACGCGGATCCAAAAGGGTTAAGCATCACTAGTTCCAGAGGAAACTTACGTTTTGAAGGTTTGAGAACTCTAAAAAGATGAAAGAAACTATGAAAATGAGTACGAAACAGAGGAAACAGAGGAAGATTGTCATTGTTCAATGCTCTGTTTTTTTTTTGGGCGGAAAGAGAGTTTCGAAAATGCGAAATACAAAAATCAAGTTAAAATGACTTTAAACGAAAAGTCTTATACAAATACTGATATAATCGAAAATACACATTAGCGGATAGACTTTTTTTGTTGGATGATGACAATTTTGGTGGTGTGCATGCATGAGGCATTTTTATAGACGGCATTCAAATTAAAGTCGTCGCTTTCATATTCTATTTCCAAAGTCGTCGCGTTTGTTTCTTTTATTGTTGTCGTTTGGCAACTATATTGGATTAACAGGCTGGTATCGAGGAGTCCAGCTAACACAACATGTAGTAATTAACTTAAATCGCTGAGATTAACACAACATGTACAGTAGTTGGAAAATTATAAATATGATAATATTGTATGGAAAACGAGGAGAAATGGTATAAGTTCTTATTTTATGGCAATGTGTAGTAGATGTAGATCTATTACTATACTTTTTTTTTTTTATAATGTTTTTTACTATAATTTCTCGGTTTTACTACTTGCGAGAAGAAATTCTTATTACTAATAAAACCTTGTGTAATTCTGTCACTCTATATTCCTTCAGATATATGATCTTAATATATTACAAATATTGCAAAATCAAAATTAAGAAGCTGATATAATCTTTCATGATAGTAATTTCAGTAATGAAGAAGTGGAACAAGCTCAAGAGTTGCTTTCTTGCTGATAATAATAGATCCAGTTTCTTCCAGGTCGATGTCTTTCACAGTCTTCCCTTCAGGCAATCCCCAATCAAAGAAGTAGAGCAAATTCAACAGTCCCAACTCCACGGTGGCGATCCCCATATTCATCCCGGGACAGATTCTCCGGCCAGAACCAAACGGCAAAAGCTCAAAGTTCAATCCCCTGTAATCTATTGAACTGTCGAGAAACCTGTCAGGGTTAAACTCATCTGGGTTTGTCCATAGTTTTGGATCGCGTGCGATAGAGTAAACGTTGATCATCATCTGAGATTTTGCGGGAATATCGTAGCCTTGGATCTTGACTTGAGACATTGTCTCTCTTGGAAGCAAGAGTGGAGCTGCTGGGTGTAACCTGAATGTCTCCTTGATCACGAGCTTGAAGTAGTGAAGCTGGTTTGCATCATCTCCTGTGATTCTCTCCTTGTTGTCCCCAAGTGTTGTTCGAATCTCTTCTTGCACTTTCTCCATCACTCTAGGGTTTCGAAACAGCTCTGTCATCGCCCAGGTCAATGTGACCACGCTTGTGTTTACTCCTGCAAGAAATATATCCTGATACAAACAAAAACGCAGACGCGTAAGTTCCAAAATTTTCAAGAGTTAGTCTATGGGAGAAAGAAGAAGATTTTATACCGAGATGATTCCTTTGAAATGATCTGTGGTGAGCTTAAAAGAGTCACCATCTTTCTCTTGCTTCTTCATCAAGTCAACCATCACATCGACGACATCAGGGTTCTCTGGTACGGTTCTTCCAGGCTTGAGATGATCATCGAGAATGTTTTGGAAGAAAGTGTCGAGTTCCGAGAAAACATTGTTCAATGTCTTTTCTTGCCCTGAAACTCGGTCGATAAGCCAACCTACTTTAGGGAAGAAATCGGAGAAGGCGATACCATCGATGAGCAAGTCAAACTTGTGAACAAGCTCTGCTACGTTGTCCTCGTCGACGAACTCGCACTTGTGGATATTTATCCCGAACGCGAGCCTACACACGATACTCGCGACGAGCGTGAAAAGGGTCTTCTGCAGATTCACCGGAGATTGTGTGAGAGCCGATTTGGTTAGTTTCTTGACCAACAAGTCATTCTCTTCCTCTCTGATAAACTTGAAAGACTGAAACTTTTTCATGTTCAAGAGCTCCATGACCACGAGCTTCCTCAACGCTTTCCATTCCTCGCCGTAAGGCGCGAATCCGATGTCTTTGAAGTTGTAAGAGATCATTCTTGTAGCCACCGTCTCTGGTCTGCTGCAACATTCAAGATCTTGGGTCTTGAGAGCTTCTTCTGCACCTTCTCTCGATGAGATTACGACCAGAGGGACGAATCCGAAGTGGAGAAGCATCACTGGACCGTACTGTTGAGAGAGGTTTCGCAAACATGTGTGAGGTAGTCCTTTGAGGTTGTGTAAGTTTCCGATGATCGGAAGCGTCCTGGGGCCAGGAGGAAGCTTCCATTTTGAGGGTTTGAGCTTTTTTGAGAGGATTGATAAGGAAACTAAGAAAATTGGTAAAAAACAGAGGAAGCAGAGCAAGATCGACATTGTTTTTATTTTGTTTCTTTCTTTGTTTGGAATGAATGCGAAATATGTATATAGACAGTTATTTTATTGATAGACAGTTGTGTGTATTTATTATCTATGTTTATTTTCCGTTGAAAAACGTGTCATTTGGTTAAAATAATAATTTGATGATGGCTAGAAGGCAACTCTTGCATAAATCAAGGGTTGTTTGTTTCCGGTTCTCATCCATCGGACATTTAGTCAATGATTAATTAAGAAAGATCATCATTCTGAAGTCTTACTATAATCATTTTAATTATTGCAGACATTATTGTAATATCATTTGCTACCGAAAAACTATTAATATAATCCCCACTTGTTGGAAAGTCTATCTTCATGTATGTAAACTTAAATACCCACAACATGTACCACATCCACAAGAAGTCTATTTTTTGACAATTTCTAAGTTGACTTTATCCTTTCTAACATATATTAGGTCTATATGATGACGGGAAAATTAGCTTTTTCATAGGGATTCCGAGAAATGTTAAACTTATGTCTAAACTATTCTTTTGGTTAAAACATACTTAAACATCATTTTAATTTTAATTTCATACTTGATCAATTAAATATATGCTAAAACAAATTTTCATCCGTAATCTGTTTATGATCCATCAAATCAAATCGAGTATACATGGCAGCCACGTAGGATACAACGTCATTTTGTTCTTCTGAAAGTTTTGAAAAAAAATGACAAAACGACGTCGTTTTGTTATGGAGAAAAAGATATTGGTTTAAGGATTTTAAATAATTTTAGTTCTGTGTTTATTCAACTCCTCGACATTGGTTTACTATACATCGGTTCTGTATTTCTTCAACCCCTCGACCCTCGACAGCTACATTGTTGATCTAGAGGTTTCAAATAATTTTGAATCTACCGAGTGTGTGTCTTCCTCGAGTAATTCAGGTTAGTTATTGTTGATAAGGAAAATTACTCTCCATCACCGATTTCAGAAATAAACAAATATGTACTACCTAAAATAGCTGAAAATCAACAATAACTAACTTGAATTACTCGAGGAAGACATCACTCTCGGTGGACTCGAAATTATTTGAAACCAATGTTTAGCAAACCAATGTCGAGGAGTTGAATAAACACAGAATCAAAATTATTTAAAATCCTTAAAACGATATTTTTTTCTCCATAACAAAATAACGTCGTTTTGTCAAATTTTTTTAAACTTTCGGAGTCTACATGGCTGCCATGTATACTCGATTTGACGGATTATTAATAGATTACAGACGGAAATTGGTTTTAGCACATATTTAATTGATCAAGTATGAAATTCAAATTAAAATGATGTTTAAGTATATTTTAGCCAAAAAAATAGTTTAGGCATAAGTTTAACATTTCTCGGAAGTCCAGGGATGAAAAAGCCAAATTTACTATGATGACGATCAAATTTGGCGAAAAAATAATGCTAGCTGAATCTAGCAAAAATTGATGGCAATCTCTGGTAGCAAACATTAAGACACTGAAACAAAATCAGAACAATTAATTTAGTCCACAAATTCCACAAATTCAACCAATCGGTTTGTTCAGCCCAAATGGTAACATTCAGCCAACTCCATTCTACATATTCCACCAAACTAATGTCACCATTTCGATTTCCATGTACAAGATTCCGAGTCACATTACCTTAGCAAATACATATCCATATTTGCTTTGAAATTCCAATCACAGAGTGGTTCTTGTAACCAAGACCCGTAGTCTATTGGTGATGTTTTGGTGATTATGAATTTACTTTGAGATAACGATAGCAACAATCATACAAAATGGTTAGGCTATAAATTCTGGTAAATTAAGTTTACTAATTTGCGGTTAGTGTATTATACTGAAATCGGATGAAATCACATTGAAAGTATTAATACTGTTAATAATATCAAGCCATTAAAATACATATTTTGGTTCGAATAGTTCTAGTTTATCGTTTGAAATATGATGCTTATATTTTTGAATGTTTTTTGTCAACGAGGCTTATTATTTATAACCTTTAAACCAATAATCATTTAAACATCAAATCATCAATTATGGGCTAAAAACCTTCTCAAACCTAACAGTCGTTAATAAATCCTTAAGATCTAAAACTAAACCGTGAACCCTAGCACTTAAATATATGTTTAGCAAAACCGAAAAAAAAACTTGCATATCTGACCTAAAAATCTAAACAAAATACTTGTATATTTCTTTAATTTTAAAATTATCGTCTCTTTTTTTTTGGGAGAATAAAAATACATTTCCAGAATCTGGAATAAATGGGACGTTATGACTTATGTGACTTATGAGATTGATTATAACGACATTAACGTTTTGTATTTTTATAACCTTTTTTAGATTGCTATTGGAATCTCTCTCTCAATCAAAGTCTACCGAATCGTTGGAGAGTGTCAATGATTAGATAATAACAGATTAATGGCGATAGATAGAGAATATTTTTAATTTCGTGACAGAAACAGAGGGAAAGAAAGGAAGAAGATGTTGCTTGGAGTGCGAAAACCCAGTGTTCACCAAGTGTTTGTGAAAATTACTGTGTGGTGATCACTGATCAAACTACAAGGGCTTCAGAGTTTGTAACAGAGAGTGAAAGCCATTCATCTTATTGACTATTTTGTTTCATCAACACTTCAGTAACGAAGAAGTGGAACAAGCTCCAGGGTAACTTTCTTGCCGATGACTATAGCTCCCGCTTCTTCCAGGTCGATGTCCTTCACCGTTTTCCCTTCAGGCAATGTCCAATCAAAGAAGTAGAGCAAATTCAACAAACCCAATTCCACTGTGACGATCCCCATATTCATCCCGGGACAGATTCTTCTTCCAGAACCAAACGGTAAAAGCTCAAAGTTCAATCCCCTGTAATCTATGGAACTGTCGAGAAACCTGTCAGGGTTAAACTCATCTGGGTTTTTCCATAGTTTTGCATCGCGTGCGATCGAGTAAACGTTGATCATGATCTGTGTTTTTGCAGGAATGTCGTAGCCTTGGATCTTGATGTCTGACAATGTCTCTCTTGGGAGCAAAAGTGGAGCTGCTGGATGTAACCTGAATAACTCCTTAACCATGAGCTTGAAATAGTGAAGCTTGTTGAGATCTTCTTCTGTGATTCTCTCCTTCTTGTCCCCAAGTGTTGTCCGAATCTCGTCTTGCACTTTCTTCATCACTCTCGGGTTTCTGATCAGCTCAGTCATTCCCCAGATCAAGGTCATCGCGCTTGTGTTTACTCCTGCAAGAAATATGTCCTGAATATGACGCAGATCGTGTTAGAAAGATTCAGCCTTTGCAGAATTTAGATGACGGGTATGGATCTGAAAGAATTAGTCTACAAATATGGTTGAGAAGATTACCGAGATGACTCCTTTGAGATGATCCGTTGTGAGCTTGAAAGAATCGCCATCTTTCTCTTGCTTCTTCATCATATCGATCATCACGTCGACTACATCGGGACTCTCAAGCACTGTTCTTCCAGGCCTTAGATGATCATCGAGTATATTTTGGAAGAAAGTATCGAGTTCCGAGAAAACATTGTTCAGTCTCTTGTTCTGGCCAGAGATCCGATCAACGAGCCAACCGGTTCCTCCAGGGAAGAAATCAGAGAACGCAGAGCTCGCAAGAACCAACTCAGACTTTTGAACAAGCTCTGAGATACTATGCTCGTCTATGAACTCACACTTATGGAGATCCTGTCCAAACGCAAGCCTACACACGATACTTGCGACTAATGTGAAAAGGGTCTTCTTCAGATTCACCGGGGTTCGTGTTGAAGCCGATTCAGACAGTTTCTTGACCAACAAGTCATTTTCCTCCTCTCTGATATACCTGAAAGACTGAAGCTTTTTCATGCTGAATAGCTCGACCACCGAGAGCTTCCGCATCGCCTTCCATTCCTCACCATAAGGCGCAAAGCCGATGTCTTTGAAGTTGTAAGAGACTGTTCTGCCGGAAACTGTCTCTGGTCGGCTACAACACTCAAGATCTTGTGTCTTGAGGACTTCCTCGGCTGCTTCTTTCGATGTGATCACAACCATCCGCACGATTCCGAACCGGAGTAGCATCACTGGTCCGTACGTTTGGGAAAGATTCCGAAGACATAAATGAAGCATTCCTTCGAGGTTGTGTAAGTTTCCGATGATCGGAAGCTTCTTTGGTCCCGGAGGAAGCTTCCATTTCGAAGGTCGGAGATTTTTCAAGAAGAGTAAGAAAAGGGGTAAGAGGAAGATGAAATAGAGGAAGATTGACATTCTCTTTTCTCTTTCTCTCTTCTGTATTTTCGAGTGAATGATTATAGTTTACAAATTCGAATTATATAGACAACTAAATTTTAGAATTACTGATCAATGACTACTTGTCTATTTTCTCTGATTCAGAAAACGTGTTTACATCACTCGATTCAATTCATTGGGTTAATTTCGATAAGAATCCAAAGTCGATGATTAAAATAAATTAACCTTATCTCTTTTATGGTAGTCGTTGACAAAATAATAATTTTGTCTCCAACTACAACATAAATGTAGTTAATGACTCAAGCTTAGTCTTGTAAGTTGTAACCGTATGCTCAACCATGGAATGTTAAAAACAGTGTAAGAGTTCTCAAAACAATAATATAAAATGAAATCATGTAAAAACTGAAGAGAAGAGTTTTTAATTAAATGTATAAAGAGAAGTTATAAAACAAAAGACTTTGGATACCCTCTCTCCTATTTTAAAAACTTCTATAATATTTAATTATTATTTTTTATACATACAATGTGAAGAGCTTCTTCTAAAATCTTCCCATTGGAGGTGGTCTAATTACTGTGTAAAGACACTTGTTATAAAAATGCTCGCTAACGTGGTGGTTTTTTAGTAATTCTAACCATTAGAAATTTGATTAATTTGGATTTTTAATCATCAAATCTCAAAAAAATAACGTGGAGTATCAGAAAACTCATGCAAAAGAAAACTTATTCTCTACTCTTATTTTTTTCTGCAAACCTAATCAGTTTTTTTTTTCTTAAATAATTGTCAGATTCCTGTCAATCTATATGAATTTTGGCTCTTTAACCGATGCAACTAAGAAGTTGCATAATGTATATCGGCAACTGTAGAGCCCAGGCTACAACTATATAGAAGAGGAAATGTTTAAAGTCTCTGGTTATATAACTTAAGATAGCAGATTACTCATAGGGTTTACTGTTATCACTACTTCAAAAGTTTGTCTCTAATTTAAAACCAAGGTTATTGTAGCATAAACATTCAACAATCAAGGTGAAAATGTAAAAAAAAAAAAAAGACATTCAACAATCAAAATTAAGAAGTTTTTTTTTTAACATTAAACTCTTGATATTCTGTAATTTTGGAAAATTAAGTTGTTATATATATAAAAGAAAAAAAAAAGAAAAAAACAGAGTTTTAGTGGCGAAGAACTTGAACGAGGTCAAGAGGAACTTCATTTCCGGTGATGATCTCGTCGGCTTCTTCCTTTTCCAGTAATCCCCAGTCGAAGAAGTAAAGGAAATTTAACAGTGCCAGTTCAACCATGACGATCCCCATCGCCATCCCTGGACAGATTCTCCTACCAGATCCAAACGGCAAAAGCTCAAAGTCTAGTCCTTTGTAATCTATGCAACTATCAAGAAACCTTTCTGGGTTAAACTCATCTGGGTTTTCCCAGAGTTTTGGATCACGTGCAATCGCGTAAGCGTTGATCAAGATCTGGGTTTTGGCCGGAATATCGTATCCTTGGATCTTGATGTGAGACATTGCCACTCTTGGGAGCAAAAGTGGAGCTGCTGGATGTAACCTGAATATCTCCTTGACCATGAGCTTGAAATACTGAAGCTCGTTGAGATCTTCCTCTCTGATTCTCTCTTTCTTGTCGCCAAGTTTTGTCCGAACTTCGTCTTGCACTTTCTTCATCACTCTTGGGTTTCTGATGAGCTCGGTCATTGCCCATACCAATGTTGAGGCGCTTGTGCTAACTCCTGCTAGAAATGTATCCTGACATAAAACATAACTTGTGTGTTACAAAATCATAAGAATATATTCTAAACCGGAATAAACCGATATCCTCCAATAGAGACCGAAGATTTACCGAGATCATTCCTTTGAGATGATTTGTGGTGAACTTGAAAGAGTCTCCATCTTTGCTTTGCTTCCTCATCTGATCGATCATCACGTCGATGATATCAGGGCTCTCTAGTTCTGTCCTTCCGGGCTTGAGATGATCATCGAGAATGTTCTGAAAGAAAGTGTCCAGTTCCAAAAAATCATTCTCCAGTCTCTTGTTCTGACCTGAGATCCAATCGATGACTCTACCGGTTCTTCCCGGAAAGAAATTAGAGAACAAAGAAGTCCTCGTGAACAGTTCAGACTTGTGCAGAAGATCCACGACTCTGTCTTCATCGATGAACTCGCACGCATGGAGGTTTAGACCGAAAGCGACCCTACACACAATACTCCCGACTAATGTGTAAAGGGTTTTCTCAAGACTCACCGGAGATCGCCTCAAAGCAGAATCTGTAAGTTTCTTGATCAACAAGTCATTCTCTTCCTCTCTTATAAACCTGAAAGATTGATTCTTTTTGGTGCTGAAAAGCTCGATCGCCGAGAGCTTGCGCATCGCCCTCCACTCCTCACCGTAAGGCGCGAATCCGATGTCTTTAGAGTTGTAAGAGATCTTTCTGGTCCCGACTGTCTCTGGTCGTGTACAACACTCAAGATCGTGAGTCTTGAGCACTTCCTCAGCTGCTTCTTTCGATGAGATCACGACCACGGGGACGATTCCGAGGCGGAGATACACCACCGGTCCGTATTTTTGGAAGAGGTTCCGGCGATTCCTGAGTTGTATTTCTCGGCGTTGGTGTAAGTTTCCGATGAACGGAAGCTTTGGTGGGCCCGGAGGAAGATTCCATTTTGAAGGTTGGAGATATTTCAAGAAGATTAAGATAAGGGGTAAGAGGAAGAGAAAACACAGGAAGAGCGACATTTTCGTGGCTTTGGTGTTTATTATTTTTAATTTTTTGTCTTTCTTCTATGGGTTTCATATATTAATTGAAGAAGTTTTCAACTAACTTATATATAATTTTGGCAAAAATTAGGATATTTCTTTACTTGTACGTTTTCAATTCCGTTCGATATTTTCTAAAAAGGCAATTATTGATTCAACTCATTCAGAGACAATTGATAATAATCCAAAGTAACCGATGGATTAAATAAATAAAATAATCAGAAGTCGTATCTTTGCTGATAGGTTAAAGTTCATAAAAATAAACAAAAGACAAAACTTCAACTTGTAATTGGTGACGTGTGCCAAGCCCTCGCAATAGTGCTAATGTGGGTGTGGGTAACACGTGAGACCCTCTCTCTCACTATTCAATAGTTAATTTTTAATACTTAAACAACTTCGGAATGATGTATCACAAACATTTTCAATAACCAAATTTAAAAAGTTGAATAGTAGTAGTAGTAGACCCTATGATTCTAATACACACATATTCAATAACTAACATTAAGAAGTTGTAACAAACGAATCAGATTTTCAGTGGTGAAGAACTTGAATGAGTTCAAGAGCAACTTCATTTCCGATGATGATCTTGTCGGCTTCATCTTTCTCCGGCAATTCCCAATCGAAGAAGTAAAGCAAATTCAACAACCCTAATTCAACAATGGCGATCCCCAATGCCATCCCTGGACAAATTCTCCTACCAGAACCAAACGGTAAAAGCTCAAAGTTCAATCCCTTGTAATCTATGCTACTGTCAAGAAACCTGTCGGATTAAACTCATCTGAGTTTGTCCAGATTTTTGGGTCACGTGCAATCGCGTAAGCGTTGATCAAGATCTTAGTTTTTGCGGGAATGTCGTAGCCTTGGATCTTGATGTGAGACAATGTCTCTCTTGGGAGCAAAAGTGGAGCTGCAGGGTGTAACCTCAATGTCTCCTTAACCATTAGCTTGAAGTAATGAAGTTTGGTGAGATCTTGTTCTGTGATTCTCTCTTTCTTGTTCCCAAGTGTTGTTCGAATCTCATCTTGAACTTTCTTCATCACTCTAGGGTTTCTGATCAGTTCGGTCATTGCCCATATCATTGTGTAGGCGCTTGTGTTAACTCCTGCTATAAATATGTCCTGGTATAAAATAGATCGTGTTACAAGATTTTTGACCATCCGAATATCCACAGATTCATAAGCAGTGTAAAATAGAGCTGCTATATGAACCGATAAATAAATCCTCGCATTTGTCAAGAACACTTTTTTAGGGTTTTTAATTATGAGCTTTTGATCATATATAAAAGGCAAAACTTCCCCTACCATTAACAAACCCTAAAATTTAAAACAGAGAAACAAACATATGCATAACAGTTTTTAGACGCACACGATTTCTTTGTATAAAAAAGGAAAAAAAGTAACAGCATTTTGTGTAATCAAACTGAAACGATAACGAGCATTTCTCAAAACTGAAAAGACCAAAGCAAATTTAATATATAAAAAACCTTAGTCTTAAGAGTTTAGTCAAAATCTGTGATGTGCAAAAGATAATTCCTTTGAGCCTTTAAGATTAGTAATAATTTAACAAGAAAGGGTCCAAAACATTACCGATATCATTCCTTTGAGATTATCTGTGGTGGGCTTAAAAGAGTCTCCATCGTTGTCTTGCTTCCTCATCATTTCAATCATCACGTCAATGATATCAGAGCTCTCTTGTACTCTTCTTCCAGGCTTAAGATGATCATCGAGAATATTCTGTAGGAAACTGTCAACTTCCGAGAAAGTATTCTCCAATCTCTTGTTTTGACCTTAGATCCAATCAATAAGTCTACCAGTTCTTCCCGGAAAGAAATCAGAGAACATAGAAGTCCTCGTGACCGATTCACACTTGTGCACAAAATCTGCGATGCTAACTTCGTCGATGAACTCGCACTTGTGCAGATTCAGCCCGAACCCGATCCTACACACAATACTTGCGACTAACGTAAAAAGGGTTTTCTTCAGATTCACTAGAGATCGCCTCGAAGCAGATTCAGATAGTTTCTTGACAAACAAGTCATTCTCTTCCTCTCTGATATACCTGAAAGATTGAAGCTTTTTCATGCTGAAGAGCTCGACCACCGAGAGCTTTCGCATCGCCTTCCATTCCTCACCGTAAGGCGCGAATCCGATACCCTTGCCGTTGTAAGAGATCTTTCTGGTCCCGACTGTCTCTGGTCGGCTACAGTACTCATGATCGTGGATCTTGAGCACTTCCTCTGCTGCTTCTTTCGATGAGATCACGACCACGGGGACAAATCCGAAGCGGAGAAGCACCACTGGTCCGTACTTTTGGGAGAGATTCCGGCGATTCCTGGGATGTAGTTCTCGACGTTGGTGTAAGTTTCCGATGATCGGTAGCTTCGGTGGTCCCGGAGGAAGATTCCATTTCGAGGGTCGGAGATTTTTCAAGAGGATTAAGATAAGGGGTAAAAGGAAGAATAAACAGAGGAAGACTGACATTTTTGTGGCTCTGTTTTTTGGTTCTTCCTATTCCCAATACTTTATTACTTTAGCAACTTTTTACATTACATTATGGTATTATTTTGTTTTATAAATGAATGGATGGTAATTGAATAAATAATTTAAGGGTAAAAAAGAACGTTATAGCTTTTGTTTCTTAATTTTTATGAAAAGTTTTTTTGTGAAGCAAAGAGTTTAAGATAACAAGGCAATGTCTTTGTCCCTGACCAAAAATGTAAACAAAAGAAAGCTTGTTCTTTTCAGATACTCATTCACTAATCAGATATTTTTCTAAGGGGAAATTATGGGATTCAAGTCGCCATCGATACTAATCCAAAGTGACATATTCAAATAAATAACCTACACCTTTTTTTGGTCAACATAACCTACACCTATAATTGTTGTTTTTTTTTTTCTTGTTGCATGGAAGTATAAACACTCTTACTTATTGTATTGGGTTAGATTGATATATGATTAATCTAATGAGCCTCAAAAGTTTGAAAGCAAAAAATTGAATTAGTTGTTAGATTTATGTTTCTACAAACTTCATTGGTAGTTAAAGGTCTATATGATTTAAAAATATTAGACATTTTGATTTACTGTGAAGCAAAAAAAATTAAACAACAATAAAAAAAATCTTTAATCAATCAAAAATAAAATTGGAGTAATAGGATTAAAGTAGGGAATACTGATTAAGAATTAAATTTCTTGAAAACAATATTGCATTATTGTCTAATATTATTCCTTGAAAAAACTATTATAGTATTATTGTATTACACCACACATCATTAAAGACAAAAGACCAAAAAAAAAAACAAGAAAATTAAAAGCTCTGAAATCGTTGTCATTATTGTCGCGGAACCGGTACAAGTATGAGAGGTAGCTTCTTGATTACTGAGAAAACACCAGTTTCTTCCATATCAATGTCCTCAGTTTTCATCCCATCAGGCAATCTCCAGTCAAAGAAGTAAAGCAAACTCAACATTGCCAATTCTAAACCAGGAATCGCCATTGACATTCCTGGACACATCCTTCGACCAGACCCAAACGGTAATAAATTAAAATTTTGCCCTTTATAGTCTATAGAACTATTGACAAACCGTTCAGGGATGAAATCTTCGGGGTCAGTCCATTGCTTAGGGTCACGTCCGATCGTCCATGTGTTGATTTGAATGGGTGTATTTGGGGGAATATCGTAGCCTTGGATTTTGATGTGAGACATTGTTTGTCTAGCACCTAGTGGAACCGGTGGGTGCAATCTGAATGTTTCTTTGAATACGAGTTGTAAGTAATCTACTTTGTTGACGTCTTCTTCGGTTATGATCTTCTTTCCGGGACCAAGTGTGTTTCGGATCTCTTCTTGTAATTTGTTCATCACTCTCGGGTTTCTAGCGAGTTCTGTCATCGTCCAGATCAACGTTACGGCACTTGTATCTATTCCCGCAATAAATATATTCTGAAAACAACGCACAACCACATTATTTAAAATGTTTGAAAAATATTCGTAGAGAAAGAAAAAAAAAAGGAGAAGTGAAAAACATGCAAGTGGTTCATGAGGTTGATTTAGATGGGACAACGACTCGAGATTAGTCAAGAAGTCGTTACCCTAATTAAAGAAAAGTAAAAACAGACCATGATAGATTGTTTAAGTTTCCATTATATAATAATATTCAGAATTATTTGATGTTTTAGAAGGTTTTTTTTTCAGAATTATTTGATGTTCTCACTTTTCAATGCAAAATTTAATGAATTTTTATAGTGTTTGACCTTTTATATTTTGCAGATTGTTTTTTTATTGGCTGAATGATATTTAAATGAATTATAAATAATATTTTTAGTATAGGAAAAATAAAAATTAAATGAATCCTTAAACTATGTGCAAAAACCTTAAACATCAAATAATTCTGAACAGATAGAATATAAAAATATGTGTTGCAATTTTTTAGACGCCGTCTAAGCGGCAATTTTGACGTTAGGGCGTGGTCGGGCCGCCAATCCATCTAATAATGTCCAGGCGGGTGTCTGGTGGCAGACGATCATTTTCCAACTATAGCTATAGTTAATTTTTTTTTTAATAAGAACTATAGCTATAGTTATATATACTATTATATATACTAATTTACATAATAATTTTTTTTAGTTTCTAAACCTTTAATTTTAATTAATTTGGAAAATAAGTTTAGACTCTATATATATATTTTTTTGTAAAATCATATTTTCTTTTATTTATTGTTTGAAATATTTCTATATTTTGAAACTACATATTACTTTCCTACAAGCTAGTTTATTGAATTCAAATCTGAGGCTCTATTTTTACATTTTCCTCCTTTTAGAGCTAACATATATATGCTTAAATTTTCTGTCTACCTAGAGGCTAAGGATTCCTCCTCTGCCTAGCGCAATTGCAAATGCAAGAAAGAAATATGGGGGAAAAAGAAAATTAATAGATCAAATTTTAGAGCTTTACCATGAGCACTGCCTTGATATTATCGATACTGAGCTTGAACTTATCATCCTTTCCTTGTTTGTTGATAAGATCCAGCATTACGGAGACAATATCCCCTGAAGAATCCGAAGTTTTACCTTCTGATGATTCCTTCAAGTGATCATCAATCACATGCTGGTAAAACTCATCAAGCTCCTTAAAGACTTTGTTCAGCTTCTTGTGGCTACCAAACAACCAATCTATGGATCTTCCAAATACACCAGGGAACAAGTCAGTGAAAGTGAAATTCGCTAGAGCATCAGCTCCGTCGGAAATCAGCTCTTTGATCTTCTCCTGATCGATGAACTCACAATTATGGAAGTTCTGTCCCAAGGCTACTCTACAAATGATGCTCGCGGTAAGAGAGAAAAACGTTTTGCTTAGGTCCACAGGAGATTGTAATGATTCCGACACTTTCTTCACCATCAGTTGGTTCTCTTCCTCTCTTATATACCTAAAAGATTGTACCTTCTTGAGGCTAAAAAGCTCGACGACCGCGACTTTCCTCATCTCTCTCCAGTACTCACCATATTGCCTAAAAGCGATGTCTTTGAATCCATAAGAGAGTTTCTCGGCCCCAACCAGCTCCGATCTACCGGAGCATTCCAAGTTATAGGTTTTATACACTTCCTCAGCTGTTTCGCTTGTGGAGACCACAACCATTGGAAATGACCCGAGACGAAGACGCATCACTGGTCCGTATTTGATGGAGAGCTTGTGGAGGCAGATATGAGGTAAACCAGTGATGTGGTGTAAGTGTCCTATGATTGGAAAGCTTGATGGGCTCGGAGGAAGTTTCCATTTTGAGGGTTTTAGCTTTTTTGATAAGAAGAAAAAGGAAACTATGAATATGGGAAAGAGGCAAAGGAAACTGAAGAAGATAGACATCATTTCTCTCTTTTTACGTTAATGTCGTGTGAAGAACGAAGTTTTCGAAGAAAAGCCATATATAGACAGTTAATGAATATGTTGACCCAAAACAGTCAGTCAATAATCTGTAAATATAATTAATGAGAGTTGATCATGTAAATACGGTAAAACGACCATCCAATTTGACTCCTTAGCCAAAGATGGCTTTTTGTTTGCGAACCCACTTGTGTAATATTCCAATTATTATAATGAAATGTTTGTTCAAAAAGAAAAAGGTTCTTTTGTTTTCTAGCTTTTGATCTTCTCTTTCTTTTTTTTTTTTTTGTCAACAGCTTAAAATCTTCTTTAACATAGCAAATTATATTTTAATTTGGAATATCTTTTTGGCAAATTTAGTTTGGAATATCTAAAAATTGATTTCGGATATGGAGAAAAATATGGATTGAATGCTCGAAACTCCAATGTTTTTCTGTTTAAAAAAATATCAAAGTCAAAATTAAGAAAAAATAGTCCTTTTCTGTTTTAAAAAATTTTGCGTTCTGTTTTCGTGATCTTCGTAGAATTGTCTTCGTAGAATGGTCTTCGTAGAATAGTCTTTGTAGAATGGATACAAACCAAAAAGAGTTATATATCCATAATTTTATTTTTTTTATTGCATGGTTAAACATATCTTTTGGAAGATTAGTATGGAATTCCGCCTGGGATATCCCAGTTAACAAAAAGGTGTTATATAGAATAGGGTTTACTATTATTAATACTTCATAAACATGTCTCTAATTTAAGAAGAAGCTAAGCGTAACGAAGCACAAAGAATTAACAAAACAAAGTTACGAAGTTGTTCCAAAAACATTATACAGATTTTTAGTGGTGAAGAACTTGAACGGGCCAAGAAAAAAAATCATTTACGGTTATGATCTCTCGTCGGCTTCTTCCGTCTCTGGTTGTGCCCAGACAAAGAGGTTAAGCAAATTATTGAGGATTAGGATTCTTTTTCTTATTTGTTTGTTTTTTTCATCAGATATATCCTAAAAGCGCAATTATTTATTCTATTCAAAGTAATCTATTAAATAAAATATAATCAGAAGTCAACGATTTTAATTTGACTATGAGTTGCGTTCAATCTTTGCAACATTGAAAAGACAAATTATCGACGCTCATTGGTTAGGTATGGCAAGCCCTCGCAGTCAGCAAAAAAACGTGACGAACTCCCTCATTTTTTGATTTTTTGTCAAGATTTTTTTTTTTGTCAAGATCTATATTAAACTGATCAGTTTCTACAAACTTCATTGGTGATAAAACGTTTATATGATATCAAAAGATTTACATTTTGTGAAGAGAAAAAAAAAAACTAAACAACAATAAAAGAAATCACACACTTTTAATCTTCAAGTAATAGAAATTAAAATCGCAAAATGTGATTAAATAAGTAGGGAATATTGCTTAAGAAATTACTCTTTAAAACAATATTGCATAACTATCTATAGTTTCATCACAGCTAGTGGATATCCACAAACTGTATTATATCTTGAAAAAAAAAACAAGAATACATTGTTATTATTGTATTACACATCAAAACAAAAAAAAAAGAAACAAGAAAGTCAAAAACTTTGAAATCGTACGTTGCCATCATTGTCGCTGAACCGGTATAAGCATGAGATGTAGTTTCTTGACTACCGAGAGAGTACCAGTTTCCTCCATATCAATGTCTCCAATTTTCATCCCATCAGGCAATCTCCAGTCAAAGAAGTAAAGCAAATTCAACAATGCCAATTCTATACCAGCAATGGACATTGGAATCGCTGGACATATCCTTCGACCAGAACCAAACGGTAATAGATTGAAATTCTGCCCTCTAAAATCTATAGAACTATTGGCAAACCGTTCAGGGATGAAATCTTCAGGGTCAGTCCAACACTTTGGGTCACGCCCAATCGTCCATGCGTTGTTTTGAATGGGTGTTTTTGGGGGAATATCGTAGCCTTGGATCTTGACGTGAGACATTGTTTGTCTAGTCACAAGTGGAATTGGTGGGTGCAATCTGAACGTTTCTTTGAGTATGAGTTGTAAGTAATCTACTTTGTTGACGTCTTCTTCGGTGATTATCTTCTTTCCGGGTCCAAGTGTGGTTCGAATCTCTTCTTGTACTTTGTTCATCACTCTCCGGTTTCTAGCGAGTTCTGTCATTGTCCAGATCAACGTTATGGCACTTGTATCTATCCCCGCAAGAAATATATCCTGAACAACACACAAAAACAATCAAAATGTTTGAAAAAAGGTTATCACGGACCAAAAAATAAAACAAAACTAAAGGAAAAGTGAAAAAAAAAAATCAAGTGCTTTGTACTGTTGATTAACATGAGACAGCATTAATTAGTCACATCGTTACGGTAATTAAAGACAGCTAAAAACAGGTCAATCATTGTTTACGCTTCCATGTTATAGTAGTCTAATCATTGTTTAATACTCCTCTGTTCAGAATTATTTGATGTTTTAGAAGGTTTTTTTTGTTCAGAATTATTTGATGTTTTCACTTTTCAATGTAAAATTTAATGAATTTTTATAGTTTATGACCTTTTATATTCTGCAGATTGTCTTATTATTGGCTGAATGATATTTAAATGAATTATAAATAATATTTTTAGTATAGAAAAAATAAAAATTAAATGAATCCTTAAACTGTGTGCAAAAACCTTAAACATCAAATAATTCTGAACAGAGGGAGTACTAGATAGAAAACAAAGACAAATGCTACTAAACTATAGGGGCCCAAATAACATAAAAAGATCAATTATAAAGCTTTACCATAAGCACTGCCTTGATATTATCGATATTGAGCTTGAAATAATTATCCTTTCCTTGTTTGTTGATAAGATCCAGCATTACGGCGACAATATCCCCTGGAGAATCCGAAGTCTTACGTTCTGATGATTCCTTCAAGTGACCATCAATCACATGCTGATAAAAAGCATCAAGCTCCTTAAAGACTTTGTTCAACTTCTTGTGTTTACCAAACAACCAATCTATGGATCTTCCAAATCCACCGGGGAACAAGTCAGTGAAAGTGAAATCCCCTAGAGCATCCGCTGCTTCATTAACCAGCTCTTCGATCTTCTCTTGATCGATGAACTCGCAATCATGGAAGTTTTGTCCCAAGGCTACTCTACAAACGATGCTCGCGGTAAGAGAGAAAAATGTTTTGCTTAGGTCCACAGGAGATTGTGATGATTCAGACATTTTCTTCACCATGAGCTGGATCTCTTCCTCTCTTATATACCTAAAAGATTGTACCTTCTTTAGGCTAAAAAGCTCGATGACCGCGACTTTCCTCATCTCTCTCCAGTACTCACCATATTGCCCAAAAGTGATGTCTCTAAAACCATAAGAGAGTTTTTCGGTCCCAAACCATCTTCGATCGGTTGGAGCATTCCAAGTCATGGGTTTTGAGCACCTCCTCGGCTGCTTCGCTTGAGGAGATCACAACCAGTGGAAGTGACCCGAGACGAAGAAGCATCACTGGTCCGTATTTGATGCATAGCTTGTGGATGCATCTATGAGGTAAACCAGTTAGATGGTGCAAGTTTCCTATGATTGGAAAACTTGATGGGCTCGGTGGAAGTTTCCATTTTGAGTGTTGTTGCTTTTTTGAGAAGATGAAAAAGGAAACTACGAAAATGGGTAAGAGGTAGAGGAAACTGAGGAAGATAGACATGATTTCTCCTTTTCACGGTAATTTCGAGTGAAGAACTAAGTTTTGGAAAAAGCAATATATAATAATTATATATAGACAGTTATTAATGAATATATAATGACCCAAAAATGAAAGAAAGACAATAAATAATTTGAAAAGCCACATTATTTACGCTACTTACCAAATATCCGACTCGCGCGCTTAGAAACAAATACGATCCGATATAACTAGAACGAATCACGAAAGTAATAAAATAAAAATAAATACAAACTCTCATTATTGCAGAAACAAAGCACGAAAGAAGATTGATAAAAAAAAAGTAAGAAAGATAATCAGTATGAAATTATCCTTACAATTTGTAACACGATAACGCAGCGATGAATCGTTCTCGACACTCGACAGTAGCAAAAGTCAACTATTAAGAGAAAATAATCTAAAGTCTTTTCTTTAACAAAATAAAAGTCTTAGTTTTTTTATTTATGTTGTCGTTTTCTTCGTGGAATATTGTAATTATTGACTCAGTTTACTGACAGCTTTAAAGTCAGTTGTCTCAAAATTATTTGATCACATGTTCCGATTTCGACATTTCGTACATGTGATGGGATTAGAAAGCTCTGGACTTCGTCTGGGTTCTCTCCAAATGGGCCGGGTCAGGGTTGTTAAATACTCAGCCCACGGATAAACATTTTGATATTAAGATATTATACTTTGAAAGATTGAAATTACCAAAAGTATACAACTTGACGTTTAATAAGGGAATAAATCAAACAAATATATTCTTCTGTAACCACCCAACTTGATTGGGAGAATTCATATAAGAAAACTATCGAGGATTGGGTTATCTTTCTAATATGTCAGAAGCGATTTTTTATGTAAACTGCATCACCATCATCTAGCCAATGAACAAAACCTTGTATTCTCTAGAGTTCTAGTAAAGCAGTTACCAAGTACTAAACAATTTATTTAGTGATAGAAAACACGATAAAAATACATCAAAATTTAAACATTCAAATCTCCAATGGTGTTAAAAGACTTTAAAATAAAATGACAAGAAAGTTTAAAACTTCTGTTTTTTGTTTTTTGCAACAGTTTTCATCAATGGTGTCGAGTGGGGACTAGTAGGAGCGGCACTTTCTTGACAGATGAGATGTTACCAACTTCTTCCATATCGATGTCTTCGCCGACCATCCCATCAGGTAACTTCCAATCGAAGAAGTAAAGCATATTCAATAGCCCCAGCTCCAAGGTAGGAATTGCCATTGGCATCCCGGGACAGATTCTTCGACCAGAACCAAATGGTAACAACTCTTAGTGTTGTCCCTTGTAATGGATAGAACTTTCAATGAACCGCTCAGGAATGAATTCTTCA